TCTCCATCTTTTCTGCATGCCCTAATTTACCTTACTTCACCTTAATTAGTGATTTGGGCTCCAATTTTGCTGTGCCTCTTTTGCTAAGACCACACTTGTAATCTTCTAGAATATTGGTTTGTGTTGATGTCTTAGTAAGGTAATGCCTCCTCTTTGGCATTAATTTTTATTATATCATGTTAATTTTACCAAAAAAAAAAGGAACAAAGAAAGTGGTGCTTTAAGCTGAGCATAGTGCTCTGTTTTTTAGAGTCTTGACTTTCTTATCCTAGTTGGTAAATGTTTCCTTGTCCAAATATCACATTAATGCAACCTCCTTGTCCAAATACCATATTAATGTAACCTCTTTGGAACTAGTTCTATAAACAGCGGACATGTTTCACTATAGATGGCTAGGGCCACTGTCATAATAATTCTGAATAGATTGGGGTTTGACTAATCTACAACATAGACCATTCATAATTTACTATCGTATATTACGAATCAAGCCATCTAAAATGTGAGAGAAACCTTATCTTTCATCCAAATTTACATTGAGATGAAAGTTCGAATAAAAGGATCTGCCATCTAAATACACCGATCAAGAATGGACTCGTTATACATAAGAAAAACCTATTCCAAATTATGCACTATTGGACATGCATATACATTCCATATGTATACACAATCTATATCATAGAAGTTGGTGAGCCTATGGATCTGCTGGTGACAATTCTACCTCTCCTCATTTTTTGTAGGAATTTTGGGTGATATCATTGTTACCAATGTCTAGCCCATGCACGGTAAAAAGATCCTTTTGGTTTTGGTGATATTTGAGTGGATCTAAAAGAAACAGAAGATTGAAAATGATTAAAGTATTAGTTTAATGTGAGGCATATATATACATGTATACACACAGTCAACCAAAATGAAGTTTGATCTAGAGTAGCTTACCATGATTTGAAGAAAGAAGTCCTGTACTCCATATTAAGAAAAATAACGTATCTATAATGCATATCATAGTAGACTGCATCCTAGTTAACATAGGAGATGGAAAGGACCAACACCATATGAAAGGAATAAGGTATCTTATGATAGTAAAATTTGGTTATCTAGTGAAAATTATTGTTATAAAAATGTCTAATGGTGAAAGCAACAAGAAATGTATCATATATTTGATTAGTCTCATATGCCAAGAACATAATTCTGGGTAGCTAATTTTGTATGCAATAAAATGATTGAAACGCATCATTGCAAATAATAAATCATTCAATTGATAAATGTGTGGAATCTTGAATATGTAACTGATGCGAGAAAACTACATAAGGTTGTAAAACCTTTTTTATTCGCAAACAAGTAGATATATACTATCTACTTATTTACAATATCAAACAAGTAGATATTATACTATTTACTTGTTTACAATATCATACAGTACCACTCGGAGCGAACAATACATATCATAAAAGAAGTTATCGATAAATGATAATCAAATTCAGTTAATGTTTTAATCAAAGGTATATATCATAAAAGTTATTGATAAATGATAATCGAATTCAGTTAATGTTTTAATCAAAATTCTCACTTGTTGTTTCGGGATTGGTTAAAGAATCAAAAGGATCACAACGAAAATCCCACTCGACCTTAATCTTTATATAGGTTGATATTTGATTGAACATCTAAGAGCTCTCTCAACTCCAATTGAGTTTCTTGGGCACACGGGATCGAACTAAATCGGATTGGTTCAGTTGTCACCGACATCAAAACCTCAATTCAACATTGACCCCTAGGATACACAAGAGATAGAACCGTGGAACATCTACATGCATGCTTAGTGGTTAAAAGGTTCACAGGATCCTTCAGCAACAACACAAGCAGATTCCTGTGTCACTCTTTTATGTACTTGCTGAAACTATATTTCATTATATGATAAAAATAGAAAATGTTAAGAGGCAGCTAATTTCCAAAGTAATACCATCAGCACCACTAATCACAAACACCAATTTGCAGCTAATAACTATAAGCAAAATGGAATACAAACCCTATAGCTACATGGACATCCAAACTTGACACCAAATGTTCTTTCAATGTAATCTTTTCTTTTCTTTGCTAGAATAGAACAATGGGAAACCACTACTTCAACAAACCGTGACCGAGCTATGCCCAGGTCTCATTCCTCACACTACCAACTTCATTTTATGTCCTTATAGTGATGGTGAGATTTATGCCTCATCTCAATAAGCTTTCATAACCTTAGTTTAAAAAGAAGTAAAATATATATACAAGCTGAAATTCTGAAAAGTTCGCTCGCAAACATAAGATCATGGTAGCTTTACGGAAGTTCGCTTCATCATCCTGAGAATGGTACGGAATTTCTTAGACTTTCATTGATGGTTTATACAAGTCCTTCCATCACCTGCATGCCCTCCTGGCTCATCTGTTGTACTTCAGAAGCCGATAAAATTCTGATGCATCTGACACAGTTTATGAATTCTCTGCAAGCAAGTGCATGGGACAACATTTGCATGATATAAGCAATCGTTTGTTCAATAATTGACGAAAGAGATGATATGACCTACACTAAATCATTCCATGGGGAGGATATTTTATGTACAGAACATGAAGTCATGATAGACTTGATATCCGCTTGACCAATTAAAAGCACCAGACATCAAAAATAATGCTTGATATGTACCCAAGAAACATTTAAACTGAACAATAAAAAACACTGTGTAGATAATCATGTATGCTCCCATATATAATAACAAAATCATGGTTCGAGATCATCAGGGAACAGCGTCTGAAATTTGTTCTACTCTTAATCACTTTAACGTCAAAAGAAATCCAGACGAGGGAAAAACATCAAACTCAGTAAGTCAACATGGGTACGCAACTCAAGCAAATATGTCCGGAAGATAAATAACTTTAATCGGTTAAGTGTAAGAGTGAACATATGGAACCTACCACTCTACGATCTGCAGTATCAATTTTGCTTTGTTATGGGTTGACCACACAATCATAGATTTAGATAGCATAGGTGCACTTACAATTTAGGATGTGGAGCAAAATAATGTTACTAAAACATATTTCAGAAAAGTTGCATTTGCCAGAAACATCGGTTAATTTAATGGCCTGTCAGGGATATTATTGAATCAAAGCAATTGCATGAGAAAGAAAAAGGAAAGTGCACTCACTCCCATGGATCATCCCCAACCAGAAGAACATCGTTTTCATAATCCACATAAACAAGTTTCCATTCTGAGCCTCGTGCATCATCCAGCTGTCCCTCTAACCCAAACATGCAGGCCACTGCAGATCTCAATTCATGGTAATTGCTAAAGCGTGTCACATCAATCGATCTTCCAACAGATCCTAGCTTTTGAACCTGTTCAACATAGGTTGCAATACTTGTTAGTTCAAAGACAAGTCTATTTGTTTGTTCTTGTGTAAGTTCAATTTCAGAAGCCAATATTCCACCTTAGTGTATGTTCTTAAAGGTTGTTGACACACTTGCTTCCTGGAACCTCGGTATAACCTGTAATCATTTGCAGCTATACTACCAGATGATGTACCAGCAGAGCAGTCAGGGATGTCTTGTAAAGAGGATTCCGAGTCTGTCAATCTCATTGAAGTAATTTTAGACATCTGTTCCTGATTTGAATTGAAAATGCAGACTGGCATCACTGAAGCTATACGAAACTTGGAAGATCCTATGGAACTGAGGCCTTCTATAGTCACACTTGGAATCAGACCCATATCCATGCTTTCGTTGCTAGGGTCAAGATGGAGATTGCCAATTGTCTCACTTTGGGTATTACTCTCCTCCGACAAGTCCATTGTCCCACATGAATTGGGCATACCCTGCAAGACACAGCAATGTCCTTGAACATCTATGTTGTGAACCTCAGACGAAAGGATGCCTTGGACAAGCAGCTCATCATCTAATGAGTTCAACTGAGTGCCTAAATATTCTTGAATATTAGTTGTGCAGTGCTGCCCCGTGTCTGAATCTGAAATGCATGATAGCTGATATGTCTCTATGGGTTCAAAGCTGTGAGGTTTTGCTAGAGAAGATATATCAGAAGTAAAAGTTGCAGCATTTTCGGCTGCAGAGAGATATAATGAATCTGGATTACCATTGATACAGGGAACTTCTGGTGTCCTTGATGAGCTCATGAAGGACTGAAGACATGAATGCTGTGGTATCCATTCATCATGATCCAAGTTATGATGCAAGTAGTCTTGACACGGAAGCAAGTTATTTAAATTACACACATCTGACGACTGTGTTGCTTCTAACCCAGGTGACTGTGCCCCAGTCGGATCACTTTGCTGCCGAACAATTTTGCGATGACCTTGTACCTTCACTTGTAGCCCTTGCTTCACGGATATTTGATCTGCAATGTTATCATGATCAAATGGGCTAGTAAAACTTTCAACATTTTGATGGTTTGGCAATTGGTCCAGATTTTCTGCCAGTATGTCATGAGAAATTGTTTTAATCATATCATCTGATTGCTTATTCGGATCAATTGGCAACACCACAGAATCCATCTCTGATTGCTGAGCACTGGATTCATCTAATGATGCATTTTCAGTCCTCCGTAGGTTGATTCCATTCTCGTTTCCTGTGTTATGATCTTGAAATTTTTGTTCAGGCTCTGCTGGGGAAACTTCATCACTACCTGATACTTGTGAGTTTACATGTGTCCTTGATGCAGAATCTAATTCAACACCCTGGGGCACTAAATAATGCCTCTGTTCTTGTGGCATAACATCTCCCAATGGAACCATACATCGCTGTGGAGAGAGATGCTGTTTCTGTTGCATTGCTGCTGTGGAGACTATTACCTGGTGGGTAGAATTTCCCATTGTATGGAATGTTGGCATAGTTAAGGAGAAGTTTCTAGAAATTTCACCACTTCTAACATTCTGCAAAATACTGGAGTATATGGACTGATGACATCCAAGTAGACCATCATGGCTAGTAGGTTTATTAAGAATATTTAGAAGATTTTCTGACCCTACACCAGCAATTAAATGCTCCGAGTTTGGATTCCCATTTTTGGCTGGCTTTGGAAATGGTTTCAAATTTCCAAACTGAATGTTTATTGCAGGACCTGCAAACATAACCAAGATAATCAGGATTGTGCAAAACCAAACTCATATTGTCTTCTGTGATAATTAGTTGTGCTACCATCTATGGGATCAATAAGAAGTCGATATGATAATAGATATATTTATCACCGAAGCTTGCCAACCAGAAAGACAAAAAGGAGATCAGTGCTTCCAAATAATATGAAGAAAAACACACTTACCTACATATCCAGGAAGACATTGTCTTTTTAAACTTGATGTTATACTAGGAAAAGCAAAAAGACTTTCCGGGGTTTCAATTTCCCATAAGCTGACTCTATCAGGTCTCTCTCCATAACCATGTTCATCCCATTCCACCTGAAAATTGTAGGAAACAAGAAATTAGTCCAGAAGGAGAATTTCATCATTCAGATTGTCAACAGTAAATTTCTTGTACATCAATGAGCAAGAGCTGACTCACTTGCAGGTTTCGCCACTTTGAATTAGGCCATTTTACTGGATCACAGTCACTGATACCTACAATTGTGCCCATGTATCTACAAGAACAACCAACACAAGTCATACAATGTTACATCATGTTTAAATATATATATACATATTTGTAGAAGCTACATAATGAGTCTGGTGAATTTATAGAACATAAGCAACAGAATTGCTAATGTCGAGCATATTTAGGTAGCATGACACAAGTTTTCACATAGATAGAGCTTGTACTTGTCTTGATGCACCATGTATATGTCCTTGCACCACGCCTGTGCTAGCAAAGTCATCTGTGCATCAATGCACAGAGTTCGTGCATGAATACATACAAATGAATGCATAACAAAACAGAGACATATATTATTATCTCTATTGTAATGCAAACACATGTGAATGTACAAAAACTATGCAAACACATAAATTTACAGAACTTGTAAGTACATACACATACTTCAAATTAAAGTATATGGAGATCTGACTCGAACATATTCTTATCTATGTCATTGAGGTCAAGCACTAGGAATGTAGCTACATTTGATCCCATAGAACAATTGCAATGCATGAATCACAACAAAAAGAAAAGTAAGTCTAGGAAGTGATGACAGAAAGAGGACCTGCGTTTGCTTGACTCCTCAGTTTCAATCATCATGCCAAATCTCATCCCAATTGGTACTTGGGTATATGCTGCTTTATGGTACTTGGTTAAAGGAATTACAAAGTCTGAAGGACATGCTCTGAAGCAAATAGAAAGAAACATAAATATCTAAGAATGATAAGTAGAGGTAGCTCAATTTTATAATACATGTCAATCAAACAAGAAAGAGGAAGACAATGCACCTAGGATTATAGTATACAGTGAATGGGCTCCTACTTGATGTAGCATGAGCTGCTGCAGCAAGGACACCAATATGCATACTATCTGTGGAGAGTACAGATGACGGCTGGGCTATTTGCTTACGGAAGGCACGTCTGATGCCCAAGAGTAGCTGTGACTTCTCATCCCTGTACATACCACATGTTTCATTGGTTTCTGGAAATGAACAGAGTTTGTCCTTTCTCCTTAGAGATTTTCTTTTGTATTTAAAGTTATCAGACTGGTCCAGAAAAGCAACTGATAATGTGCAGATATATACATCAACTGATCCCCAAATCCTTCAATTATTCAAATCAAAGTAACTCCAAGCAAAATAGCTTCTAGTTAAGGAAGAGAAACCACATGATTTAAGGAAGCTTCTTTATCGGTTGCTTCTTGAAGAATCATAGACACACATGATTTCTCAATAACATAATTCAGGGAAGAAAATCCACATAATACATCTCCAAAGTAGAAAAATAATGGGAAGTCTCTGGAAAAATAATTTTTGAGCCTACAAGATTTCCTAAAAGATAGCGCTCCATCATCTAATTTGTTAACTGCTTGCAGAGAAAGAGAACAGAGAAATTTAATAGAAACCAAGAAAACTATCCCTTGAGACTTTCATTAACAACATTTTTTAAACCTGAACACCGGCTATATCATTTCCAAACTACATCTTCCATGAACTTGTAGAATACATCAATTATGCAAATAAAAGAACCATCATTCAGTAGTTCTCATGTTCCTTAGTTTGAAAATGGAAGTTCCAGAATAAAATCGTGAAACTAATTTCTCTTGTTCTGCCATTTTACCTAATAAACAGTATGGAATCACCAGCTTTAAGCCTTTTTGCACCCACAAACAAACTCCATCCGGTTGTCAAAAGGTGTCTCTTTGGCTGTCCTGGAAAGATAATACAAGGACTCTGTTACATGAAGTGCTAAAAAATCAATACTAAAAATGAAAGCAGCATGGTGAAAGAAAATGCTTATCAGTGAGTGAGCACAACAACTAGGGACACAACATTGCAGGATATTCCTGCATAAACCATTTTTTTCAATTTCTACAAAAAATATCCCCAGATGAGACAATTATTTTTTTTATCAAATTTATTCGAAAATATAGATGCTATAAGAACCTCAAATATGCCTAGACTCATACCTCGATAGATGTGCCGGAATGTCCACAGGTTATCATGCAAATCTCTGACAATAAGCTCCTGATTTGGAGGTTGCATTGAATAATCCTGGAAAATACAAGAAAGTTTATGGGCATATCCAATAGAAAGTGAGCACAAAATATACTCCTCACCAATTGTGGAAATAGCTTTTCAGCAGCTCTTCGAGGTACGGAGAATCCACCATGTGTGCTAGTATCACTTGCAGTCAAAATCTTACAAAATATTTCAGTTGGGTGCTTACATTTAGTATAACCAAGATCCGGAATATGAAGAACATCACTTTCCTGAAAGGAGAAAGGGAAACTGAGCACCACAGTAGTTAATAACTCTCTTAGACTAAACAACTTTAAAAACATAAGGACATCACTTTGGTGAAAGGAAAAAAGGAAACAATAGTTAATGGGAAACCTCTCTTAGACTAAATAACTCTAAAAATACATTTTAATCTTTCATTTTTTATGTCGTCATCTATACATAATAATTTTGATCAAGGTTCGCAATACCGTACCGTACCGGCATTTCGACGTTCGCTTGTTACGATACAAAATGGTATACTGAGCGGTATACCGCTCGGGGTATATATATATATATATATATATATATATATATATATATATATATATATATTTTTTTTTTTTTTTTTATTTAAAAGGCGACGTCGCCTCGTTTATTTAAATATATAAATATATATATATATAAAATCCGAAATAGGCGCCTCGGCGACGTCGCCGAATGTCGCCTTTTTCTAAAATATTTATATATAAATATAAATATATATTATTTTATTATTATTTTTCATTCTGCCCGGTAGTGGACAATCCGCGTACCGGTATGTCGTCGGACCGGTACATACCGCCCGTACTGGACGGTATCATTCGGTATTGCCTACCTTGGTTTTGATGAATTTCCGGACTGCAACAGCAATCTTGCATATTACTACAGAGCACTCAGGTCTAATCTTGTCCACCTAAAAACCATCTGTGTTCAACACTAAGCTTTAGAGAACACTAATAGGAATTTACAAATGCACATCTATTGTTGCACTCTTATAGTTTCATCGTCTCATAATAAAAATGAGTTGTAATAAAACTATCTAACAAAAAAGGAGAAGCTGCAACACAATTTGATTTATTCCCAAAGGTTCTTGCATTACCAACTTAGCAATACTAATTAACATATGGACAAAGTAGAATTGCCATAGGTTGCTAATGAATCTCCATAAACCAAGGAAACCATCAATCAACAAAGAAATTAATATAACTAGATTTCTACTTATTTCTAAAGCAACATAATGGCAGTCTAGGCATGATCATTGAAATGATGTCATGGCTTTGATAAAAATCTGATTCCTAAATGGGGCCACATGGATCACAATATGTCATTCAATAAAGTAAAATGAAAACATTACAGAGTTTACTGGCTGAAGGGTCATCTGAGCATAGATCTCATCAGTCTCCTTGTCAGCCTGGAGATGTGTACCAAACAAAAAAAAAATAACTATTCTCATAAAAAGACAGTAGAAAACCAAAATCACCTAGAATTTTACTTACATGAAGTGCAACATTATGAACCTGGCACATCAACTGAGATGGAAGATCAGTGTAGGCAGGGATTTGTGAGTTTGCTATTTTTCTAGTCGAAGCAGTAACCTGAAAGGAAGCCAGAAGATAATCAATAAATTGAAGAACGAAAAGGTCTGATGATGTAGGACTACTTAATCAATATATTTATGTAGCTCCAAAACCCAGGATCAGTTGTGACCTTTACCATGCTGGCATCACAAATGTTTCATCAATTGTGAAATGTTTAGAGCCTAGAACCATGCTACCAAATTTTCTTATCTAACATTCTCAACCCAAATGGCTACACAGATAAGAACGTAGGTCAAAGTACAACTAATCATCAACATGAGAAGATATGTTGAGTCTGCTTTTATTAGCAGATTTTACTTATAAAATTTTGCTGCCAAAGATTCTGTATTAGGTTCTCTCTAGGGAAAACAATACCAGGACAAGTCAAGAATCATGTTGTATCCACAGTATACGACAAGATGAGCAATACAGGGACCTGCTCGCTGTGCCCCTGTGGGAAATAGTACACTAGGCTGCCGGGTTGAGGCAACGATACGAATGATCCAGCGCAAGCATGCCAAAGCTCAGAATTTATCACCTTCCTTCCACCTACAAATAAAACCAAGCTAATTCTCATCAACTCACTGACGATTGAATGAAGAACCAGAAAAAAAAGAAATGAAGCAAATAATATATATATTTCTATCAAACATTACAGAAATGCAAGATGAACATCATCAAGCAAAAGTGTAATCAAGAAGCAAATTACTAACTTGACATACTCGGAGCTTCCCCCAAGAGCTTCATCTCATCTTGCAGCACTGCAGCGCTATTTAGACCGACAGGTCCGACGTTTTCTTGGATGGAGGACATCTTTAACCAGCAATGTTAGGAGCTCAACTTCTCTTGAGAAAAATCTGAAGAAAGAAAGCTCAACAACAAGCTCTCACCAAAAGAGAAGTATCTTCATGCTGCAACCAAGAACCTCTCTTCAAATATCCTGTAACAGTATCAGCATTTGGAAGAGATTGCTTCAGGAGCACCAAATTTACATCTTCAAGCGTATTGCTTTTATTTCGTGGAAGGAAGCATCTTCGGGGCGTCAGCACTATCCACCTTGGCAGGACAAAACATGTAGCATCAAAATCCAATCTTTAAGCAGAAAAATCTCATCTTTATTCAAAAAGCACCAACTTCTGAGCATAGAGCCGTGCGTCCAGCCAGCAGAAAACGAAATGATATCCCAGAATCGTTCAATCCGGAGAAGCCAAAGTAACAAGAGACCAAATTGTCGAGTTCAGGCAGAAAGAATAAAACGATTACAGCCACAGCGCTAAGAACCAAGACCTGTTTCCAGTGGGTCGGCTTATAAAGCTGCGGCGGAAGATAAAAATAGAGCGAGTGAAAGGGAGAGACGTGGGCCTCTGATGGTCGTCGTCGGAGGGGAAGGAATGGAGGAGGAAGAGGAGGGCCACCAGCTGCTGTAGAAAAAGGTCGAATTTTTTGTTGGCAACCAAAGAAGCACGCCAAACTGTCGCAGCATTTGCAATGAGTAGTCGAATTCGGGGCACTCCTTTTTATCTTTTTATTCTCTCTTTTCGCCATAAAGATACCGACCTTTCGATGATGGAAGACGCCATGATTCACCCCTCTCTCTCTCTCTCTCTCTCTCCCCCCCCTC